TTCCCCTTGCCTCCCATAGGCTGAGGCTCCTCGCTCCATCCCTCTGCTCACCTGGGGTGGATGGAAAATAGGACTAACGGGTCTCTGGGGCAACTTGAATATTGCTCAGTGACATTTCCAATGCGTAGCAGGGAGATGGCATCCTTTTCCCCGGGCAGGCTCACCCACCGGGTGCCAAAGCACTGAGGGAGTCAGAGGATGGGTATGAAGGAGACTTTCACATCAGCTGCATAAATGAGATTTTGCTAAGCAGATTAGGGAAAGGTCTCTGGTTCGGTGCGGGGCTTGGGGGAAGACAACACTGGGCTGGCGGTGCCCCCCTACCTTCAGGCCGGTATTTTTACTTGGGGTTAAGAGAGCGACCTTCATGGGATATTAGGTTTAATGAGGGATTTTGTGATTTAATTAAGATTTATTTGCAATCAGTTGGAGTGCCCTTATTAAGTAAATTCCAGGCCTTGAATAATATGGCCATAAGGTTTTCCAGCCGTGCTTATTGCCAAGATGCCATTAAAATGGGGATGGGGAGGGGATTAACGAGGAAAGGCTTAAGGTCAGAGCACTGGTGGGAGAGCGCGTGGTCATTTTGGGAGTTGAGCTGGGCCTGTGTCCTGTTCTCAGCTGTACTCAATCCCAAAAACCCCAGTTATAACTGGTACCAGTGAACCCCACTTCCTGGAAACACAGGCAACGAGTTTATCCGAAAGCCTCGGGGCTCGTGCCGGCGTCAGAGCAGCTAAGTGGGGGTTATGGTAGCAAGCCACAGTCGCTGGGACTGAAAGACTGCAATTATCCCCAATTAGATCGACTTTCTCGGAGCTGAGCTATTAAAGCAAAAGACCCTTTTGGCTTGCTTTGCCCCCCGGTGAGAGTGCAGATACAACCTGTGGCAGCTGAGAGTGGTGGTGAAGAGCCTGATAACTGCCGCTGGGGTGCCCCAGGCCGGTGGGAGACAGAGGTGACACACATATCTTGGGTATCTGTGGAAGCTGCTGCTGCTCCTGCATTTCCCACCTTATTCCATCCATAGGGAGAGGGTCAAGTCAGGTTTCTCCATGCCTCGATTTACCTGATGTTTTAAGAAAATCCACATCCTTGGTTCCCAAAGCGGCAGGCTGCCAGCAGGAGGAGAGCGTGCCGCACCGTGCGGGTCTGTGCCTGCGTGTCTGTCGCAGCCCTGGATGCTGTTTCGGGGTCAGCTCCGACCTGCTGAGCCTTCCCCCTTGTTGGCGCTGCCCACAAACGAGTGATGCTTTGTGTGCCGAACGGGAGAGCTTTGGGCTCAAGGGACCTTGAAAAACCGCCCCTGTCCCACCCCTCCAGGGCCCTCCAAAATGCCCAGCTCCCCAGCCGCCCCCACGTACCGATGCAGAGCAAAGCCAGCGCCGTTCCCAGCTGCCATCGGAGCCGCCTCGGTGACTCAGCAGCCGTGCTGAAAGCTCCCTTATTTATTTAAACGGCTGCTCCCGCTCGGCTGAGCATCTCCTGCAGCGATGCTGCTGCTGGGCCGGCCCTGGCCGCCGCTCGGCGAGGAGGAGAGCGATCCCCGGCATACTGAGCCCACCGGTTTGCTCCGGACGCGATGGCTTTGACTACCTGGGCTCTCGGCCCCGCGCTGCGGCTCTGTGCCGCCGGCCCTGCCTGCTCCTGGGAGATGCTGCATGTGGCCGGAGCAGGTACCTTCTCCCCCCTTTGCTTTTCCCGGGGGTGCTGGGTTGGATCTCTTGGGAAGGGGAAGCTGCTGGTGACCTTCAGTGTCATCTTCCTATTTTTTAAATACCTTGTGCCAGCCTGGGCTGGAGAAGAGCATTGTGGCTGTGGGGTTTTGTCCTCGCAGGGGAACGCTGCCGATCGGTGCCTTGCTCGGGGTCGGAGCTGTGGCTGCGGGGCTGGTGGAAGGGCACAGGGTGCATGGGGTCAGTGTGACGGGTGCTAAGGGAAACTGGTGTCTGGAAGAAGAAATGTCTGTCTGGGACCCTTGTCGGGTGGCCTGGCTGGGGGGTTGTTGCTAGCCCCAGCATTTGGGTTCGGTACTGTGAGGGTCTGGGGGGGGTCCCGTATAGCCCAAGCACAGGGGTGATTTCAGCCCTGGCATCAGGGCCAGACTTGGGTTTGTTGCTCTCTGGAGAGCCTTTGGCAGGGAGAAATAAAACAAGGGAAAATCTTCCTCTTTCCTCAAGATCCGTGTCGTTTTTACTCTGCTTTTTTAAAGCATTTAGTCTCTCTGTGCTTGTGCTTGTCCAGGCTGGGCACATCGGAGAGAAGGCAGGGGTTTGGGGAAGGAAAGTTTTTCTCCTGGTTTCATGCAGGCAGAGTAAGCGAGACCCTTTCAGTGCCCTGCTGCAGGGAGCTCAGCCCTCTTACTAGACATCAGAGAATCTCAACTGGAGGCACTGCTCTGTAGGAAGCCCTGTCCTTCTGCTGGGCTGTGGTGGGATCCTGCCAACCAGTGGCCTGACGTGGCTTTGGGCTGAGCACCGTTCCTGCTTTCCCTCTCTGGAGGGGACCTGGGTGTTCATCCCCCCACACCATGGGACCGATGGGTCACCTGGGTCCCCTCTCCTGGCAGGCGCCTTGGGTCTTTGTTTCTCTCCTGCTCCTGCTTTCTTTAAAACTCCTACTTCTGGAAGAAGAGGTTGTGTTAGGTGAGAGGGAAGGCATTAGATTTAATTATGCAGTTATTATTGATGGGATCCGTGCTGTGTCTGCTCTTCAGCTTCATTCATCAGGATGAGGGTGGTGGATTGGGAACGCGGCTGGACTCTTTGCTCCTCTCCCAGAGCTAGGAACGTGCATTAATCCTGAAAATACTCTAAAGTCACATTTCTGGAGGTGAGATAATTACCAAGGAGGTGGTAGGAGGTGCAGGGGACCTGGCTCCTTGGCTAATGGGATCGCTTATGGGGAAACTCTCCAGCTATTTTGCAGGGAGAGCTCATGGCCCATGCTGAGGTGCCGGCAGGGACGCATGGCCCAGCAAGGTGAGATAAGTCACGCTGCCTCGGCTGTCCCAGGCGAGGGGAATTTATTAAGGGGATTCAGGAGATCATCAGACACTTGTTTGTGTGAATGGCAAACGAGAATTTATTAAGAGGCCAGATTAAAGGTACTTTAGAAAAAGAGCAAAATCGATCGAAGGCAGCTGAGGAGGGAGAGCAGCAGATACACGACTCAGAAATAAAATACTGGATAGCGGGAGGGTGCGGAGGGGTTTGCATGGAGAGCGTGAGAGGTAGGAGGACCTCCTTGCCACCGCAGCATTGCTGGGAGTGCTGGGCCTGGGGACCCCAAAGAGGACCCCAAAGCAAGCGGCAGCCTCCCCCACGCGAGCGCCCGCCGTCGGAGGCGCCGCGCTCAGGAAGCGAGCGGAGCACATTGCAGGAAGCGAGCGGTGCCAGCGCCGGGAGCTGGCGCGAGCAGGCGTGAGCTCATGCGTTCCAGCGGGAGCGGTCGCCGGCTCCCACCGGCGCAGCCTTTGTGCCCCCCAGCTTCTGCTTCTTGGTGGCGGTTGCCAAAAAGCAGCCCCGAATTACTCACGCTTCCCCAGGCTCTCAAAGGCCGGTGCTTTGGGGTGGCTGACACCAGTCTCCTCTGCGGGGTCCGGCATCCGAGTAACTCCAGGCGCCGGGGAAAAAATGCATTGTGCCGGAGCAGGGGGATCCTGGCGTGCAAAGCCCTCAGAGCGGTGCTGGGGAGGGTAGCGTGTCCAGCAGTCTCTTTTTTCCTGCCTCCCCCTTTTTTTAAAATAAACTCTCAGCAGCCGGGAGGCAGGACAGGGCTGGTACAGCTTTTCACAGGGGGATGTATCAGGGTGGCGGTGCCCACGGATGCTGAACTTTCTGGTGCGTGTGGAAGCACGACGGAAGCTTGAGAGCCTGGCTGCACCACCAGCAGTCCCTGTGCCGAAGATGGGGGGATCTTTGGTTGCTGCGGAGGGTGTGCTGCAGCCCTGAGAAACGGGGTATGGCACAGGGAGAAATATCCGGGTTGCAAACGATCCCTTCCTCCCCCGGCAGCTCCCTGAAAACAGAGCAGGGGATCGCAGCCACATTTGGGGTTTATTTGGCAGTGGAGAGCTAATTGCTTTGCTCTGAGTTGGGGTGAGGCTGATGCCCACCATTTGCTGGCCTGCGGAGTCGGTGGTGCGAGGGGTTTTGGCCCTCAGAGAGGCTGCGTGGGGCACAGCTTGCGCGTCAGGTACAAGCTGCTGTCACGTCTGAGGCCCCTCAAAAAGAGGGGCTGGGGATGGTTCTGTCGGTGTCCTGCAAAACACAGATTTGGTGGTCCCTGCCTCAGGGGAGAGGGAACAGAGTCCAGCAGCCCAAAGGTGGGGCAGTCAGAGGTGTTTGGAGTTTCTCAACAGCTCAGCTTTGGAGCTGCAAACAGGAGAAGGCATTTTCCTTTTGTAGCCTTCATAAGATGCTCTTTCTTCGTTTCCCTCTTGCTGTCTCCAGCAGCCTGTGCTTGTTTTATTGCTGCTGGCTCCATGGGGAGTGCGGGGCAGGGTGTGAGTCGTGTGTCCTTGGGTGAGTGGTTGGAGGAAAAGAGCTCTTGGTCTGAGGACCGGCAAAAGAGGATCTTGCAAAACAGTAGAGGCACAGATTTAGAGGAACTTTGGACATCTTGGTCTCTGAGGGCTGCTTTCTTGGGTGAGAAAAGCAGATAACCCTGCAGTCCTACGTCAAATGATGCTGGTTGCCAGCCAATTCCCTGCCTCTCAGCTGTGGTTTTCTTCCCTTGTTTTTTTTGGCTGCAAAACCCTGGGATGTCATCAGCTTGGTGTCCTGTCCTCTTCCCCGGCTTCCAAGGATATGTTTTCCACCAAAAGCCATTCCACACAGGGCTTTGCCCGGGAGCTGAGGATTTTGTCCCTGCCAACCATCTCTGTCCCCTCTCTTCCAGGTGTGTGCGGCTGCTGCGGCGCCCTGCGTCCCCGCTACAAAAGACTTGTCGACAACATCTTCCCTGAGGACCCCGAGGTAAACGAGGCGCTGCTTCACGCGCCGAAGCTCCAGTGCTTGAGTTGGAGGGACATGGCATGACCTGCCCAGAAACAGCTCCCAGGAGGCGGGTGATGCTTTGGCTCCATGAGACCATGCCTGGAGTGTTGAATTTTCCTTTAAAGCCTGTTTGTGAGCAGAAATATGGAAGCAGTTCCTCCAGCCTGGAGGGACAGGCTTCCTTTCCCAAAGGTCCCAGGCAGACACACCATCCAAGGGTGGAGGGATGGATGGATGGGAGGACGGGGGACTGGACATGAAGGCATACGTCCTTCTCTTTGCAAGATAAGGAAAGCAGCTTCTAAGAGTGGAGGTCTCTTGGGGCCTCAGCCAGGCTTTTGTGCTCAAAAGCTGCTTATGCTTCCAGGATGCAGGGAAGCTGGTGCCCTGCTTGCTGCCTTGCTGAACTGGAGATGGGGAATGCCCTGCCAGCTGCCCCTGGAGCATCCCAAATCTGGCTTCTTTGTCTCCTTGTCACAGCTAAGATGCAAAGGCAGTGGAAGAGGGGCTCCCAGCTGGGGGTAGTGGGGCTGGGATTACCCGGGGAAGTGGTGAGTGCCTGTTTTGTCATGGCACTGGCAGCAAAGCTGAACAAGAGAGGAAGCTGCTGCCGAGCCATGCGGAGAGGAGGAAGCACCACAATTGTCCACGCTGCAGGGGACTGGGGCTGGCAGCTTGGCACACTTGTGTCATTCAGCCTTAGCGGCCTGGAGGTGTTGGTGTCCCTGTCTGCCCCTGTCCCCCTTGGTGCTGGGGCATTGCTAGGGACTGGCAAACAGTTCTTGTTGTATTTACAGTGTGGGGTGCTCAGTGGAGGCTTGGACGGGGGTCACCCCTGGCTGTGGTGCATCAGAGAGCCCTCAGCTGAGGCTAAATGCAATCCTCATTTGCCTTCTCCGGCGTACAAGCTGTGGGGAAGCGCTGGGACAGGACAGGCATGCTCCAGACCTCTGGCATCGCTGCCAAGGTTTGCTGCAGAGATACTCCTGATGTTTGCTGGGTCTGGGTGTGAGGCTGTGACCCCCTGTGCTGCTTTCTTTCAGGATGGGCTGGTGAAGACCAACATGGAGAAGCTGACATTTTACGCCCTGTCTGCCCCAGAGAAGCTGGATCGCATTGGTGCCTACCTCTCCGAGCGGCTCATCCGAGACGTGAGCCGGCACCGATATGGGTAAGCTCTGGGAGGCTGTTTCAGCCACCCCAGTGATTGGCGTAACGATGGGCCACCAGATAGTAGAGGGGGCTCAGGAAAGGGGGGGGATATGTGGGGTACACGGCTCCTGTGTGCTCCAAGGTGTCCTGAAGCTACAAGCACACTGCAGAGCGACCTGAGCATGTTCTGCCTCTGAAAATGGGACATGGGAGCATGCAGGGATGTGCAAGCTCCCTGCAAAGTTGCAAGGGACCAGGCAAGTTGGGAGCCATGTCGTGTTTCCCTGGAATTGTGCTGTCCATGCTTGAGGAGTCTGCATGTGTGTGGGGTGCCGTTATCCCTCTGGGCCATCATCAGCATCCTCCTGGCCTTTCAAAGACCGCAGTGGCTCTTGCGAAACCAGATAGAAGTCTGGCTAGGTGTGGGCAAGCAGCTAAACAGGGTGGCCCCGGCTGCAGGTTGCTGGGGGTTATTCAGGACAAGCTTGGGTGTGTTTCACCCCGTGCAAAACTCTTCTGAGCTATGGTGATGTGGCACAAGTGAGAGTTAGGACGAGGGGCAGCGCACTGATGTTTTTCCAGAGAGCATGTGATGGGGATGCATTGGGCTGGATGAGGATTGCTGTGTGCGCTCTTTCTGGCTTACCTGCGTGGTCCTGGCTGGGCCTGGTTCCCTTCATCTTCCCTCCCCGCATTGCTTCCAGCAAAGTTTTGCTGTGTTTACTGCAAGGACAGACAGCGCCCGCCTGGAAATAGCTGACTGGCCTGGTTAGAAATGCTGGGGGAGCACAGGAGGGCTCCTTCCCTTTGAAATAGCTCCTGGATTGATTCTTGTTGTCTCCTGAACAAAGCCGTGGCAGACAAACACAGCTCAGCTTTGCAGTGTGAATCTCAGCCTGCCTTTTATCCTGGGGGAAGAGAAGCCAGCAGCCTGCCTAAGAAGTGTTAAAGTTGGAAAACCTTCAAAGCCTCATCCGCATCGCCCGTCATCGGGAGTGACAGGACATTCAAAGCTCTGCCTGATGTTCTGCGGTTAAGCGGCTGTTAACAGGCTCCGCTTGCTATGTTGGGAAAAGAAAGGCTTTCAAAGATTTTTGACATCTAATGACAAGCCTCGGCGGGTGGAGGGGGGAATATATTCCTTCCTCCACTGCCTGTGCATATAGGCACGTAATTGGGTTAGAACACTGGCTAATTTTTCAAAGTCTTAACTTTGAAATGCCTGAAATGGGTTCGGATCAACCTTTTGTTTGTAGGTCGGTGCTGGCTGGAGCAGCAGGGCTTGCCCCGCTGCAGACACCACAGCCAGGCTTTGAAAGAGCAGCCGAGCGCGTGGGTGCCTCTCCTGTGTGTGAGATGAAGGTAGCCTTGATTTCGGGCCTGTTGGGTGTCATCTTTTTGTTACCTTTATTGCTAAAAGGAGAAAGTGTTCTTGTCTGAGTTTGCAGCAATGCAACCCGCCATCTGTAAGAGGATGGTTAGGGTAGGTTGGAGGTGACAGCTCTGCAGGTATCCTTTTTCCCTCTTGGTCACCTGCGTCTGGTTGTCCCCAAGAGAGAAGCTGTGCTGCCGCAATAATACTGGGCACAGAATTTTGTATTCAGCTTGTTTGCTATGAGAAAGGAGCTTGATGCTTCATGCTGGTCGTCAGTCACCTCTTCATACTTTTTTTTTTTTTCCCCTCTGGGCCAGTTTTAACCCAGTTTGACAGATGAGTAGGAGCCTCACAGATCCAGGAATAGGTGGCTGCTTATTTTCACAGTATCTGGAAGAGCTGTAATGGTGTCTGAAGGACAGGCTGCAGTGTGAGCAGAGGATCTACTCAAGACTGAAGATTCCAACAGTTCTGGGGCCTCAGGAGAAGGGATCAGTCTTGCTGTGTTTTACCTGGAAGTCCAGGGTTTATCAGACACCTTCTTTTCCCTGGGAGGGCAGTTTGCCTCCCCAGCTGCCCTTTAATGCGCAGGCAGGGCTGGCATGAGTAGACGGGCAGCTCCTGCCCGCCTCGCTGCTGGCAAACTCGGTGTTTTCGGGTTTCCCTCTTGCAGCACAAGGCTGCAAATCCAAGCTGGCTCAAAAAATGGAGGTTAAAGGAAGGACTGTGCTCGATAGAAAGAGATCTGTGCTTGCCACCTCCTGCTTTCTTGGCCGTGGCAGATCTGGGCTTGCCAAGGTAATTTTGGTGTGGGCAATGCTGCAGCCTGGTCTGTGCACTGCTGGAGGAGACCCTGCTCACCCCGGGAACTTCTGGGGTGATGTGAATATACGTTGCAGGGTTGCTTTGTTGTGTGTTTAAGCACAGCTTTTCTGGAGCATGTCAGTCTAATTATATGTTCTCCTCTTGTCCCTCCTCCCTGGCCAGGACCAGCTGGGTCTGCGAGAAGGGTTCCGCTTGACCCTGTACCTACCCTGTACAAAGCCCAGCGCTCCCTCACGGGGCGTAAAGACCAGTTCAGGGCAAGTGAAGCCCACAGGCAGTGTGGGGGGAGATGCAAGGTGTTGCTGGCAGCCTTGGTCCTGGGGCAGCCGGGTCTTTGCTAGGAGGAGAAATGCTGGGAGCAGCCAACACCATCTAAAAATATCCCAGAGGTATTTTGGGTGTAAAACTTTTCTCCTTGGGTTGGCCAGGGCAGGAGGTTGGCATTTTGTGGGTGGGCACCCAGGTGGTTTGGGAGAGGGGAGAAGGAGGGATGGCTGCGGGCCTGTGCTGCTGTCGGGGAGTGACTCTGGCCTCTGCCTGCTCCCAGGTACGTGTGTATTGCCATGGAGGCCCTGGACCAGCTCCTCATGGCCTGCCACTGCCAGAGCATCAACCTCTTTGTGGAGAGCTTCCTGAAGATGGTGGCGAAGCTGCTGGAGTCGGAGAAGCCCAACCTGCAGATCCTGGGGACGAATTCGGTGAGTAGGAGTGCAGCAGGAGGTGGCAGCACCCTGCTGACCCTGTCCTTGGCTTTCCGCCCTGCCTGTCACCCCCACGTGTCCACACAGGGCAGGAAACCTGATTGGGAAAGGATGGAAACCTGATTGGGAAAGGATGGGGAGCAGCTACAGGGGGGGATTTATGGTGTCCCCTCTTGTGTTCTGCCACGCGTGAGGTTTCTAAGACCCCAGCTGTGCTGCCTGTGTGCTGTCCCTGCTGTTTGCTGTCTGTGACCAGACGCTGGTCTCTGATCTCTGCTGCCATGCCTTCCCTCTCTTGAATTCAGCTTTTCCTAAATGAGCCTGAGGGCATAGAGGCTGTCAGCAGTTTTGGACAATAGACCAACTTAGAAGGTGATCCCCATGGATTTTGGGAGCCCTTTGTGCTCAGAAAAGGGCTGGCTTAAACAGAGCTGCTGCTTGCAATAAATGGCTTAGGTGGACCGGGGAAGTCAGTCACAGACATCAAATAAGGGGAAGGGAGAAGCGCGGATGAACAAAAGTGACGTCCCCTCAGCTTCCAAACTGCTGATCCTGGCTAGCAGCCGCTTGTGCATGGCCTTTCTGCCAGTTTTTACTGGGAGCACTGGGTGTACCTGGCGCTCAGGCTTGTGAGGGCTCTGTCAGTGTCCGGTAGCTTGGCTTGGACAAGCAGCACCTGTCCTTGCTGCTTTTTAAGAGGGGGTTTAGATGGAGCTGATCATCCTGTGGGCAGGAGGGTGGACTGGGTAGATGCTCTCTCGAGTGCCTGCAAAACGCATGGGCAGCTCAGCCCTAAGCTTTAATTCTCTGCCTTGTGTGACAGGGAGAGGGACAGTATTAACATTTCTGCTGACGCCTCCTGGACAGGATAAGCGCTGTGTCCTGTGATGCTTCTCTCCTCCAGGAGCTGGCACGCTCCTGGACACGGGGTTGTAAATGCCTCTGCTGGGGCACGAGCAGCTGAGCGGAGAGCTTTCGCACCCCATTCTCCCTCGCAGCTAATTGCTCCCAGCTGAAAGCGATGTCAGCTGCCCATTGGCAAAACTATTAATCTGCAGCCCTTGAAGAAGCAGGAGGATTGATCCCTCCGTTGAAATCCACTGCTGGCAACAGCTTACCATGGTGGTTCAGTGCAGTGATGCCACCATAAGCCCTGGGTATGGTGCAGCGGCTGCCTGGGAAAGCCCCTTGCAATCATAGAATGTTTTGGGTTGGAAGGGACTCCTAGAGGTCATCTAGTCCAACCCCCCTGCAGGGAGCAGGGACACCTTGAACCACATCAGGTTGCTCACAGCCCCGGCCAACCTGGCCTGGAATGTTTCCAGGGATGGGGCCTCCACCCCCTCTCTGGGCAACCTGTTCCAGTGTTTTACCACCCTCATTGTAAAGAATTTCTTCCTTATATCTAGTCTAAACCTCCCCTGGTTTAGTTTAAAACCATTACCCCTTGTCCTGTCACAGCTGGCCCTACTAAAAAGATTTTCCCCATCTTTCCTATAGGCCCCCTTTAAGCACTGAAAGGCTGCAATCAGGTCTCCCCGCAGCCTTCTCTTCTCCAGGCTGAACAAGCCCAACTCTCTCAGCCTGGCCTCATAAGAGAGGTGCTCCTCTCAATGGGAGTGGGGCCTCCAGGGAACACCCACATCCCTCTGCCCAAGGGTGGCCCAGGCTCCATGGGAGACCAGAAAGGTGCCACTTGCTGTCTGAACTTCTTGAGATGTGCTGGAGCTGCTTGGATCCGTCCTGGTGGCAAGCAGCTTCATCTCTTGCCAAGAAAACACCTTATGTTGCAGCGTAGCCCTATCTGCAAACGCATGCAATATCCCCTTGCCCAACCCCTGAGCTGTCGGGGAAATGCAGGGGGTGTCCCAGGGTCCAGAAGGACCTGGGGTAGAGGTAGGGTTTAAAGCACAACTCAGCCAGCATCTCCCTCTCTGCGGCCGCTCTCTGGACACTCCTCAGGTCCTTGGCTGGTGCCCAAGCAGAGCCCTGCATCGGAGGGGCCACGTGGCACGGAGCTGAACCTCAGCAGGAGCTGCCAGCATGGAGCCAGGGAGGGGACAGCCCTCACCACAGGGGCTCACGGTGCCATGGCAGGGGCTTCAGCAAACCGGCTCCGACACCGACATCCTCGAGGGGGGGAGGCATTGGGTCAAGGCAAGACGGAGCCCTGCCTCGTGTTTACTGCCCGTGCAGAGCAAACCTCCCGTGTTCAGGCACCTGTGGAGAGGAGAGGTGGTCCTGGGCTGTGGATGGGTGTTTCCTTAGTGCTGCTGTCACTGCGGTCAGGAATCAGTAATGGGTGTTTTAATGAGGAGTCCAGATCAGAAAGGATGGTTTAGTAATGCTTTTTTTTTTTTTTTTTTTACTTTCTCAAGCGTGGCGGCATTCAGAGGGCAAATAGCACAGAAAACTTGTGGGCTTTTATAGAAAAGTGAGTAATGATAATGAGACACTTCTTCCTATATCTGCTAATGAGGAATGTGCCTCAGGCTCGTGCTTAATTAGAGGGTGCTGTCTCAAGCAATCTTCACAATAACGGAGCTGATGGCAAAGGCGGGAGGAGGTTGTTTATAGAAACCTGCTCCAAGTGAGTCATTCTCCGCGGCGTGAAATCTCGCCTGAAACACGTCTCCCTCCTCGCGCAGAGCCAAGGTGTCGCGCTGCGGAGGGGCTGATCCTGGGGACCAGCCTGCCGGGCTCCATGGCCGCAGCGCTGGAGGCGGCAGCG